AGATGGTGAGGATGACAAGACTGCTGAGTGGCAGAGATAAGCCACTTAAAGTGGATAAAACCACTTGTCTACCACAAGTGGTTTTAATTCTAGTTACTACAAAATATAATTATTCAAGCCTACCCACAGTTATGAGGATTGAAATTCTCACATTTCCAGTCATCTAGATAAGTAAAGAAGGACATTTTGTTTATTCGGTTATTTATATCAGTATGGACTCATGGATATGTCTTTTGTTCTATGGGTTCTGGAATCCATTACTGTTATTAATGGTTTTTTTGCTCAAACTGCTTCAGCTTTAACCCTCGGGAGCTCTCTCAGGTTGGTTTCTGTGTCCTTCAATGAGCTCCCATACTTTTTTGAGCACTTTTTCTCTTTCTGCCACCATAAGCCCTTGTGTTTCCCCTTCCCAGCACTGAAATCAACCACTTCTCCAAGAAATCTTGGTTCCTGTTATTGAAGAATGCTATTTAAAAGCAAAATCTGTGGTGCAATGGATAAGAAAAATAATCCAATCATATATTGCTTGCAAGAAATCTACCTTGTAAACTGGTAAATATACTTATAGACCGAAGGTAGAAAGAGGGTGGAAAAAGATATTCTATGCAAATGGAAACCAAAAGTCAGCAGGAGTAGCTATACTTAGATAAAACAGACTTTAAATCAACAACATTAAAAAAGATAAAGATCATTATATAATGATAAAGAGATCAATTCAACAAGATGATACAACAATCCTAAATATATATGCACCTAACACTGGAGCTCAGATTCATCAGACAAATAGTACTTGACCTAAAATAAGAGATATACGGAAATACAATAATAGTGGGGGACTTCAGCACCCCACTGACACACTAGACAGATAATCGAGAATGAAGATCTAGAAAGAAGCACTGGCTTTAAATTGGACTTTAGACAAATGGACCTAAGAGACATTTACAGAACATTCTACCCAACAACAATAGAATATACATTCTTCTCATCGGCACACAGAACATTCTCCAAGATAGACCTTATGTTAGGTAGGCCACAAAACATGTCTTAATAAACTTATTTTCAGTTTTAATTTTTTCAGGAGATGGGGTCTTGCTTGTTTTCCAGGCTAGAGTGTAGTGGCACACTCTTGGCTCACTGCAGCCACGACCTCCCGGGCTTAAGCCCAAATAGACAAAGTAATCCTGAGCAAAAAGAACAAAGCTGGAGGTTTCATATTATTTGACTTCAAATTATGCTACAAGGCTGTAGTAACCAAAACAGCATGGTACTGGTATAAAAATAGACACATATCTAATTGTAGAAGGGTTAAAAAAATAGACATATACATCAATGGAACAGAATAGGAAATCCAGAAGAAAAAGCCACATACCTACAGCCAACTGATCTTTGCAAAGCTGCCAAAAATTTACACTGGGGAAAGGCCCTACTCAATAAATAGTGCTGGGAAAATTGTATAACCATATGCCGAAGAATGAAACTGGACCCATACCTCTTACCATATACAAAAATTAACTCAAGATGGATTAAAAACTTAAATGTGAGACCTGAAACTGCAAAAATGCTAGAAGAAAATCTAGCAAAAATTCTTCTGGATATTGGCCTAAGCAAATAATTCATGAGTAAGAACACAAAAGAAAATGCAATAAAAACAAAAATAGACAAATGGGACTTAATTAAATGAAAAAGCATCCGCACAGCAAAGATATAATCAACAGAGTGAACATACAACCTACAGAATGGGAGAAAATATTTGCAGGCTGGGCATAGTGGCTCATGCATATAATCCCAGAACTTTGGGAGGCTGAGGTAGGATAATCGCTTGAGCCCAGAAGTCCAAGACCAACCTGGCCAACATAGCAAGACCCCATTTCTACAAAAAAGTAAAATTTAAAAATTAGCAAGGCATGGTGGCATGCACTGGTGGTCCCAGCTACTCTGGAGGCTGGGGTGGGAGGATAATTTTTGTCTTAGAGTTTGAGGCTACAGTGAGCTATGATCATGTCACTGCACTCCATGCATTCCAGCCTGGGTGACAGAATGAGATCCTGGGGAAAAAAAAAAAAAAAAAAAAAAAAAGAAGCAAGGAAGGAAGGAAATGTTTGCAATGTATGCATCCAACAGAGGACTAACATCCAGAATCTACAAGGAATTCAAACAATACAACAAGAAAACGACAAATAACCCCACTTAAATGTGGGCAAAAGACATGAACAGATACCTTTTAAAGAAGACATACAAATGACCAAGAAGATATAAAAAATGCTCAACATCACCAATCATCAGAGAGATGCAAATTAAAACCATAATGAGGTATCACCTTATACCAGCCAAAATGGCTGTTATACATATTATACATATAATATATACGTAAATAAAATGTACATACTGTGGAATACTACCTAGCTATAAAAAAAACGAAATTATGTCTTTTGCAGCAACATGGATGCAACTGGAGGCCATTATCTGAAGTGGAGTACTCAGAAACAAAATGTCCTGCCAGGCGCAGTGGCTCATGGCCGTAATCCCAGCACTTTGAGAGGCCGAGGCAGGCGGATCACTTGAGGTCAGGAGTTCAAGACCAGCCTGACCAACATGGCGAAACCCCATCTCTACTAAAAATACAAAAATTAGCGGGATGTGGTGACACACTATTCGGGAGGCCGAGGCAGGAGAATGACTTGAACCTGGGAGGTGGAGGCTGCAGTGAGTCAAGATTGCGCCACTGCACTCCAGCTTGGGCAACAGAGTGAGACTCCATCTGAAAAAAAAAAAAGGAACAAAAAGTCAAATACCACATGTTCTCATTTATAAGGGGGATCTAAATAATGCATGCACATGGACACAGAGAGTGGAATAACAGACGCTGGAGACTTGGAAAGGTAGGAGGGTGGGAGGAGGGTGAGGGGTAAGAAATTACCTAATGGGTACAATGTACACTATTTGGGCAATGATCAGGCTTAAAGCCCAGCTATTCAATATATCCACGTAACAAATATGAACTTGTACCTCCTAAATCTATGTTTTAAAAAAACTGAGCTCTAGATGGGCTCAATTGCTATGAGGATATCATTGCTTCTATGCCCTCTCAGTTGTCTGAGCTAGGAAAGATATGTATACATACAAACCCATGCATAAACCCAGAAATATTTACTTCTGTATCTGTTTTATGATACCAGCTAAGGAGAATTATATGAAAGTTGTTCCTCTGTCTTTACAACCTAGTATATAATAGGTTTACATAAATATTTGCTGAATTGAATTAATTAGAGGAATGAAGTGATGTTGAAATGTGTTTGAGGATTGAAAGGGAGAACAAGATAAATGGATCTTTGACAGCTGGTGACACTGGAGGGGTTTGGTCTTGGATTCAGAAATCAAGGTTCAAAAACCAGCTCTTGCCACTGAGCCTCAGGACCTTGAATGAGTTGCTTAATCTCAATAGGCCCAAGTTTCCCATCTATAAGAAGGAATAACTGGGCCAAGTGATCTTTAAGATTCCTTTCAGCTTGGGAACATGAATCTGATTACATTGCTCACTTGCTTAAAGCATCTTTTTTTTTTTTTTGAAATGGAGTCTCACAGTGTCACCCAGGCTGGAGTGCGATAGCACGATCTTGGCTCACTCCAACCTCTGCCTCCTGGGTTCAAGTGATTCTCCTGCCTCAGCCTCCTGAGTAGTTGGGATTACAGGTATCTGCCACCACACCCAGCTAATTTTTGTATTTTGTTAGAGACAGGGTTTCTCCACGTTGACCAGAATAGTCTGGAACTCCTGACCTCAAGTGATCCACCCCCCTCAGTCTCCCAAAGTACTGGGATTACAGACATGAGCCACTGCACCTGGCTAAAACATCTTTTAAAGGCAGGTAGTTTCTCTTTATTTTCCCCCCAAAGCCATAGTAATAAATATAATTTACAGTATAGTTTGTGGTGTGTGTATATAAACACATACGTATATACATGTATGAACACATATGCACGTGCATATACGTGCATATGTGTATTAGGGATTGTTTTGAGATAATGTAACGGAAATGTAACTGTGCCTTAAATAAGGTAGAAATTAACTTCTCTTTCACATAACTTGACTTCTCTTTTACAGCCTAGGGCTGGGCTTTTCAGAGCTCAAACACCCCCAATACACAGCTTCCAACTCCAGGCCCAAGGTGGCTGCTCCAGTTCCTACCAGCATGTCTGCATCGCAGCCAGTGGAAGGAGAAAAAGACAAAGAGACAAAGTAGTGCACACCCATTTGTTTTAGGAGTGTGACCTAGAAGTGACACATGCCACTTCTGCTCACATCCCATTGGTCAGAACTTAGTCACATTTCTACACCTGACTGCAGAGGAAGCTGGAGAATGTAGTCTCTAACTGGGAAGCCAATGTGCCAACAAACACTCAGGGATTTGATTATTAAGATAAAGAACAGGAGAATGGATTGATGGAAAACTTGCAGCCTCTATTATGATATATAAAATGGAAGCATTTTTACAGGATGGCACTTTGTGTGTGTGTGTGTGTGTGTGTGTGTGTGATAACAGATCAATTTTTTTTTTTTTTGAGGTAGAGTCTTGCTCTGTCACCAGGCTGGAGTGCAGTGGCGTGATCTCGGCTCACTGTAACCTGTGCCTCCCGGGTTCAAGCAATTCTCCTGCCTCTGCCTCCCGAGTAGCTGGGACTACAGGCACGAGCCACCACACCTGGCTAATTTTTTGTATTTTTAGTAGAAACAGGGTTTCAGCGTGTTGGCCAGGATGGTCTCGATCTCTTGACCTCGTGATCCACCCGCCTTGGCCTCCCAAAGAAGTACTGAGATTATAGGCATGAGCCACCACGCCTGGAGAACAGATCAGTTTTAATCCTAGCACCTGAAGCTATACAGGGTATGCTCTATAAAGTTCGTGGGACTGTTGTAGACACTTGATAAAGTGACAACTGTGCAACTTAGTATCTAAAAATCAGGAACATACTATTGAATTGCTTAAACACAATCCACAGAATTAAAAACAAAATCAGATTTAATTCTCCATTAAAAGCTTACACTTAAAACTTTATATAACAATCAATGTCTAGCAGGGAATATTGAAAGCGATTTCAGAGTCTCATCCTGTTGTACTCTATTGGGAAGGTGACACGTGACTGGCCAAAAATGGGTATAGCAAAGACCAGACCAGCAAGTAAAAGTTCTACCACAGTTTCTGTAGTTTCTACTTGTTTTCCTTTGTCAGATAAAAGTCAACAGCTAGAATTAAATGCTTATCTTTGCAAATACACAAGGTATGCTGTGAAAGCTTATCTGCTTACAAACATATAAAAATACTTGTTAACTAGTTTGATAAAAAAAAGTATATAGCAAAAACATGAATCATCTCTGACCCCAGAAAGCTCAATTCCATGTTTATATTACATAAAAAAAAAAAAAACAGTTTTGGTTTTTGAAAGCGATTTTAGAGTCTCACCCTGTTGTACTCTATTGGGAAGGTTTCTTGAGTAGACACATGACTGGCCAAAGATGGGTACAACCAAGACCAGACCAGCAAGTAAAAGTTCTACCACAGCTTCTGTAGTTTTCACTTGTCTTTCTTTGTCAGTTAAAGGTGAACAGTGAGAATTCAATGTTTATCTTTATATATACACAAGGTATGCTGTGAAAGCATATCTGCTTACAAACATATAAAAATAATTAACTAATTTGATAAAAAAAGTATAAAAGTGTATAGCAAAAACATTAATCATCTCTGACCGAGAAAGCTCAATTCCATATTTTATATTACATCAAACAAAAACAGTTTTAGTTTTTGAATCCCTTATTCAGAAATACTTGAAAAGGAAGACAGAAATTATTCATTTTTACCCTTAGCATGGCTGTGAAAAAAAAGAGTTTTAAAAAATCAAGGGCCAGAAGCAGCAGGCGAGTCGAGTGTCTTTGCCCTTGGATCCGAGCGACCATGGTGGCCCGGGTGTGGCCGCTGATGAGGTTCCTCATCAAGGGAAGTGTGGCTGGAGGCACCATCTACCAGGAGCTGCTGGGGCCCAGTGACAAGAGCCGGACAGCCCTACAAAAGGCTGGGGAGGTGGTCCCTCCCGCCATGTACCAGTTCAGCTGGTACCTCGTCAGCAGACAGGCCTGCAGATACCCCAGCTCCCAGCCCCTCCAAAGATTCACTTTACCATCCATGACTCCTGGAATGCAGGCATCATCACGGTGATGTCAGCTCTGTCAGTGACTCCTTCCACGGCCCGCGAGTACTCCAAGGAGGGCTGGGAGTAGGTGAAGGCACGCACCACGTAGCAAGTCAGCAGGGGCCGCCTGCCCCGGCCAGAACCACCAGGTCTGCCACCAACCTGAAGTCTCCAGACTGGAACCCCACTTGGAGGGCAGCTCCTGGCCCTGCCGGCCCAATAAAGGACTTCCGAAGTGAAAAAAAAAAAAAAAAATCAAGTACACTGAAATGTCTTAAGTCCCGAATGAGTCCAAATATTTGACCATGTAGAATATTATCATCCTCAAGAGCAGGAGCAATAACACAGGCTTTTATAAACAGTTTTTAATCCATAAAGTCAATAGGCATTTTGGTATTTTGGCCACCAGAAAACAAAAGTTGCAATATCAGTCAAGATCTGAGATGTTTCACTTTTGTAGATTCAATTCAGTGTATTTAAGGTTAACAAAGGCTGACATTGAAATTTTCAAAGATAAGCAAAAATTCACATTTAAAAAAAATCCCTATATTTCTATTTAGAGTAACAGTAGGCAGTATGATTCCAAAAGTTAAAAATTATTTCACAACCTGTGGCTTCAGCTTGGCAAACAGCTTAGATTCCAAAACTGATTCATCTCTATTAACATGGAAGCACTTAAAAAAAGAGCGTGTCTGTGTATATAGACACATATTTTAAAGGAATCAGATAGTCTTTGAAGCAGCCTTAGTGTTTCCTTTAAATTTGTCTGGCAGTGACCATTGTATTAGCTTCACTGAAAGGACTAGCCAGCTTCTTGGTCTAAGGCTAACATGGTGATCATTTGTCTAAGGCTAGAAAGGCACCAAACAAGATGTAAACTGAGGAGAGGAGGAGAAGATGAGGGCTTTTCCTGGCAGTCGGTAGCTAAGATGGAAAGGATTCTAGAAAATGACACAATGGCAGCCTTTCTTGCCTTTTTCTGATGAAGGAAGACATTCCTGCTCTTGAAATTTCCTGATAAGCCGGACAAGTTCATGGAAAGCTTGCTCTACATTCATCCCAATCTTTGCTGATGCCTCCATATATGTTACCTTAAGTTGCCGCGCTAACTGCTGTCCTTCTTCCTGTGTTACCTGTCTTTGATGATCCAGATCTGCTTTATTGCCAATTAAAATCATTGGAAACTCATCACGACCCTTTACTCTGAGAATCTGTCTTTGAAACTTATAGATTTCTTCAAAACTGCCTCTATTTGTGACTGAAAAGACCAACAGGAAGCCCTCGCCAGTCCTCATACATTGTTCTCTCATGGCTCCAAACTCTTCTTGTCCTGCTGTATCCAAAATATCTAGCCGTGCTGCTCTGTCATCTATCACACACTGCTTTGTGTAAGAATCTTCAATGGTTGGATCATAATCCTTTACAAAATAGGACTGGTTGAACTGGATGATGAGCGCCGACTTGCCCACGCCGCCCCCGCCGACCACCACGAGCAGGTACTTCTCCTGGCTGGAGCCGTCCCGCCAGCCGGCCGCTGCCATGGGGACGCCGCAGAGCGCAGCCGGATCGCGCCGAGCCGCCGCTGCCTCCCGCCCTAGGCCCGGCTCCTGGGACGTGTGCGGCCGGCGGGCAGCGGGCGAGCGGCCTGGGGGGGTCCCCGGTCCCGGGAGGTGTCGGGAGGGCAGGTCCGCGCAGCAGCGCGGCGCCAGGAGCTAGCTGGGTACCGTCCGAGGCGCGGAGAAGCGGGGTGACGGCACGGGCCAGGGGCGGCAGCGGCCGGGGGGCGCGCTCCTCTACGCGTCTCCGCAGCGCCTCAGCACTTACTCTTAACACCAGCTTTTTTTTTTTTTTTTTTTTTTTTTTGAGACAGAGTCTTGCTATGTCACCAGGGGGAGGGCGGTGGCGCAATCTCGGCTCACTGCAACCTCCACCTCCTGGGTTCAAGCAATTCTGCCTCAGTCTCCCGGGTAGCTGGGATTACAAGCACCTGCCACCACGCCCAGCTAATTTTTATATTTTTAGGAGAGACAGGGTTTCACCATGTTGGCCAGGATGCTCTCGATCTCTTGACCTCGTGATCCGCCCACCTCGGCCTCCCAAAGTGCTGGGATTACAGGCCTGAGCCATGTGCCAAGCCAGCATCTTTATTTTATTCCAGTCTAGTCTGTCCCATTGGATTCCTTTTTGACCTGCTGAACTGATTTCACAATATTCTAATGGATGAATTACAACCCTTACCACTGCCCCAGAGAAAAGTGCAAACTTAGCACAGCAGGATTTGCCCGGGGGATGAGAAGTGGCGGGTGGTGGAGGGGAGTCCCCTTCAAGACATGGCAGCTGCTCACTCTCCAGCCTCCCCTCCAGCTGCTACCCACTAGCACTGCTGCAGCCCCACTGAGCTCCCGATCCCTGCAACACACCACCCCGTTCCACACCACCTTGTCTTTGTACTTGCTGTGCCCTCCAACTGGAATGCCTTCTGCCCAAGTTCTGACTCTTGGCCTTCCACCCCACAACCATTGGCCTTGCAAATCATCTTCATTCATTTTTCTTTTCTTTCTTTTTTTTTTTTTTTCCAGACAGAGTCTCCTGCTGTTGCCCTGGCTGGAGTGCAATGGCGCGATCTCCGCTCACTGCAACTTCTCTGCCTCCTGGTTCACTCGATTCTCCTGCCTCAGCTTCCCAAGTAGCAGGGACTATAGGCATGGGCCACTACACCTGCCTAATCTTTTGTGTGTTTTTGGTAGAGACAAGGTTTCACTATGTTGGCCAGACTGGTCTTGAACTCCTGACCTCATGATCCTCCCACCTCAGCCTCCCAAAGTACTGGGATTACAGGCGTTAGCCACTGTGCTCAGCGACCATCTTCATTTTTCAAAACCCAGCTTGTGTGTCACCTCTCCAAAGAATGCTTTCTTACCAGTAAGTCACCTACAAAGAGTTAATCTACCCCTTGATACCTCCAAGCCCCTTATTATTTGGTATTGCAATTAATGTACTTAGCTGTCAGCTTCCCTTCCTACCCCATGAGCACCTCAAGGGGAGGAACACAGGGCCTCAGTTTCCTTATATATAAAATAGGAAAAACGCCCGGCGCGGTGGCTCAAGCCTGTAATCCCAGCACTGTGGGAGGCCGAGGCGGGTGGATCACGAGGTCAAGAGATCGAGACCATCCTGGTCAACATGGTGAAAGCCCGTCTCTACTAAAAATACAAAAAAATTAGCTGGGCATGGTGGCGTGTGCCTGTAATCCCAGTGACTCAGGAGGCTGGGGCAGGAGAATTGCCTGAACCCGGGAGGCGGAGGTTGCGGTGAGCCGGGATCGCGCCATTGCACTCCAGCCTGGGTAACAAGAGCGAAACTCCGTCTCAAAAAAATAAAATAAAATAAAATAAAATGGGAAAAACAATATGATTTCTTATTGTTTACACTCAATTAGTGTTTGTTCTGATGGCTTATCTACATATTTCTCTCCAACAAATGGTAAGCACCTGGAGGGAAAATCTCCCTCAATGCTTTTTGTCCAAGTCTTGCTCACAGTAGCACTCCATAAATGTTGACTTTAGTTGGCAAGTCACCTGGAAATGCAGGCCAGTGTATCACCTCCATACCTGGCTAGTCTATAGAATTGTAATAATGAACAGGTCATTGAACATCTAGCCAAGTGTAACCTACTCAGAAATAGATGGCCTGAGAAAATCAAGCCTGCCACATCTACTTAAACTATTTGAGGCCAGGCACAGCAACTCATGCCTGTGATCCCAGCACTTTGGGAGGCTGAGTGGGGAGGATCACTTAAGGCCAGGAGTTCAAGGCCAGCCTGGGCAACAAAGCAAGACCTTATCTCTACAAAAAATTAAAACTAGCTAGGCATGGTGGCGTGCACCTGTAGTTCCAGCTACTTGGGAGGCTGAGGCAGGAGGATTGCTTGAGCCCAGAAGTGTGAGGCTGCAGTAAGCTGTGACACCACTGCACTCCAGCCTGGGTAACAGAGAAAGATCCTATCTCTAAAAAAATAAAAATTATTTGAGCAATTCCACAAACATGGCAAAGATAAACTTGTGGACTGATATTTCTTAAGACTGCCGACTGGGTGCGGTAGCCCAGCCCAGTCCCTGGCTTTCTGACTGTTCTTTCAACTCTCCAGACTTGCTCCCCCTGCTTGGAACTTTGCATTTGCTTTCCTCTTTGCTCCGAGTGGCCTTCTCACAGATCTTCTCTGTCCTGTTAAGCATCACCTCCCCAGAGAGACAACCTTTGTCCAAAGGTCTCCTGGCTGCCTGCCTCCATTGAGTCATGAGCCTATTCCTGAACCAGTCAATCATGAGAGGATAGAATTACTAGGACTGGCAAAGTCTTGGTATTTGGAACCAAACTCTCTATTATATTACCCCGTCTTATTATCTTCAGAGCACCTATCACAGCTGAAATTATTATATAGATGTGCATATTTTGTTGCTTATCATTGGTCTTCCCTCCTCAGAATGTAAGTTTTGTGAGAGTAGGAATTTATCTGTTTTCTTCACCTTTGTCACTCCAATATCTAGAACAGGACCTGATATATTTAGTATGAACTCAATAAAGATTTGTTGAACGAATCACTGACGAATAAAGATAAGATAGCACTTTGGACTTCCTCTCTTACCTGATTTATCACGTAGAACTTTAATGATTTCCTGACATGCTACCTTCTTGATTCAGGGCCAAGACTGCATTCTGCTTTTAATTTTTGCCTCACTTAGCACAATGCCTGGCATATAGTTGATAAGCACGTTTGGATGAATGAATAAATTTTGATGAATGAAAGAAGGTGTGAATGCATGTGTTTAGGAAACATAGGTGTGCTCCAGATGTCAGAAGGTGGAGAAGGTGGATGGTTATCGTACAAAGGTGATCAAATGCTAAATAAAATAATCCCAATCAGGCCAAAAAATGCAAGGGCTCCTCAGATCAAAGGGTGGGGTAGATGGGGTCAGGTTGAGGTCCAGGTAGCAGGGAGGAGGCTGGAGAGGAAGATGCGGGGGGCTGGGAAATCCTTGAAAGGAGCTGCAAAATGTTTATTTGCTGAATTGAGAGGACTCCTAATTGCTTGGGCACTTTTTCTTTTTCTTTCTTTCTTTTTTTTTTTTTTTTTAAGAGACAGGGTCTCACTACATTGCCCTGTAGTGACCAGCTCAGGCTGGTCTTGAGCTCCTGGGCTCAAGCGATCCTCCTGCCTCGGCCCCCTAAAATGTTGGGATTACAGGCATGAGCCACTGTGCCCAGCCACTGGGACACTTTTACAACAACTTTCTCCCCATGACTCTGAAAGGAATCCTTTATTTTCCCCAAAACTCCATTTGAGAAGCAGGCTGACTTCAAGTCCATTCGCCATCACATCATTCATAAAATGTATCTTGTCAGTGCCACACTGTCAGGGGAAGAGAGATCAAACATACATTTTAAATAAGATGTCCTTCATGGGATACATTCCTGAAGAGAAGAGGCAGCCTTGGTAGGAGGCAGAAGGAGATTTTAAAAACGTGTAAAGTCTGGAAAAAAATTTGATTTTTAAATATCTTTAAAAATACGTAAGTTATTTCTGATAATCACCAAGTAATTATTTCTTTTTAAGCCCTTGCAGTACAGAAGATATCAAGTACTTTTTTTTTTTTTTGAGAGGGAATCTCTCTCTGTTGCCAGGCTAGAGTGCAGTGGCACAATCTTGGCTCACTGCAACCTCTGACTCCTGGGTTCAGGTGACAGTCTTTTACATATACACAAACACACACACACATCCACAAACACAGACATACAAATACACATACACAACATACACAAATATACATATTCACAAACACAAAACAGATACACAAACACACACACAGACACAACATACACAAATACAAACACACACAAACCCAGATATACAAATATACACACAGACACAACAGACAAAAATGCATACATTCACACACACCATCACAGATGCACAGGCGTACACAATCATACACCAAACACACATGCATAAAACCCTTGTTTCCTAGCAAACTAACACAGGAACAGAAAAAAAGATACTGCACGTTCTCCCTTACGAGTGGGAGCTAAATAAACACTGAGTGCATATGAACACGAAGAAGGGGACGACAGACATTGGGGCCTGCTAGAGGGTGGAAGGTGGGAGGAGGGCAAGGATTACGGAACTATGGAATCTGGCTAGGCGCCATGGCTCACAGCTGTAATCCCAGCACTTTGGGAGGCCAAGGCGGGTGAATCACTTGAGGTCAGGAGTTTGAGACCCACCTGGCCAACAGTAGTGATGAAACCCCATCACTACTAAAAATAAAAAAACTAGTGGGGTATGGTGGTGCATGCCTGTAATCCCAGCTACTTGGGAGACTGAGGCAGGAGAACCCCTTGAGCCCAGGGGGCGGAGGTTGCAGTGAGCTGAGATCACGCCACTGCACTCCAGCCTGGACGACAGAGTGAGACCCTGTCTGAAAAACAAACAAACAAACAAACACCAACTGTGGAATCCTAGCACTTTGGGAGGCTGAGGTGGGAGGATCACTTGAGCTCAGAGTTTAAAACCAGTGAGACCTTGTCACTACAAAAAAGAAGAAAAAAACTGCCTATTAAGTACTAAGCTTTTTTTTTTTTTGAGACGGAATTTTGCTCCTTTCTCCCAGGCCGGAGTGCAGTGGCATGATCTCAGCTCACTGCAACCTCCTCTTCCCAGGTTCAAGTGATTCTCCTGCCTCTGGAGTAGCTGGGATTATAGGCGCCTGCCACCACGCCCAGATAATTTTGCATTTTTGGTAGAGACA